AAGACAGAATGTGCAATGATCATTAAAATTTTATACTTTCTAAAATCAGAAAGGCTAAAAGTTAAGTCTGCTGTTCCATGACACACCCTCATGAGACACCCATTTCTGTTTTCAGGTAGATGGGACATTCCCACAGTAGAGTGGGTGGCACAGAGGGACCAGCCTCTGTTTCGCTAAGTTGAGCTCCTGAGCTCCTGAATTGGCAGCGTCCTATTTAGTTTTGTTACTTTTTGTGTTATGGTTTGAGATCAGTAACACTTTTTGTGTTATGGTTTGAGATCAGTTAGGAAACTGTGGCTGAGTTTTCTAGGATATCTCTGCACAGCCTAAGGATTTGTGAGTTCCTGTAGCACTTTATATGACAATTCTAAGAATTGTATAAATGCTTCGATTGCTGTTTGGGCACTGAAAATTAAGATCTGAAAAATAATTATCTGTGTCATACACAGGAAATCTCATTTACTCCTAGCCTCTGAGGCAGGAAAGGAACTCCAACTGGGAAGCAAAACATAAATGGGACCTCACTCCTGCCCACCCTTTTTCCTGCTCCTTTTTAGCCGCCATGTTGGGTTTTCCTTCTCAAGTGCACATGCTGAGCTGTCCAGAGGAAACCACCGTGTGCCCAAGAAAGCACTGCCATCTCACGTATGTCAGGGTTAGCCACAGTGAAACTGATTTCTTTTAAACCCAGGGATTTGCCAAAGTGGTGCACACCTGTTATCTCAGAGGCTCAGGAAGCTGAGACAGGAGAATTGCAAGTTCAAATCTAGTTTCAGCAACTTAGCAAGGCCCTAAACAACTTTTTTTTTTTAAAGGGCTAGGCAGAGTTTAAGTGCTCCTGGATTCAATCCCAGGTATCAATAAATAAATCAATCCAGGGATTTTCCAGATCTGCACGTGTGCTGTAGATTAGCGTGAAGTACCATCAGCCCCGGTTTAAGAGCCAGAGTCTAGAAGGGCCGTGTGTCCATGGAGTACTCTGTTTCCTCAAGAGGGATGCCATTGTCCCTGGACAGAAGGAACACGAGAGACTGCTCCTGTGGGTGCTGTCAGTAAGCTTGAAGAGCGAAAAGAGAATGACCATCAATTACACCCTGACCTATTTAAAAATGATTTGATAAGCTTACAAGGTTACCCCAAAACTACAATCAAGAAACATTACATTAAATGAGGACGTGAAGAGTGACCCTAACGAACCGAGTGTTTATTATGAGTTAGGCAGCATCGCTAGGGGTGATCCCTGACTTTGACTCAAAAGTTTTCCTAGTTGTCAAATAAAAGAGAGAGAGAGAGAGAGAGAGAGATAGAGATAGAGAGAGAGAGAGAGAGAGAGAGAGAGAGAGAGAGAGAGAGAGAGA